GAGGGGTGTTAGGTATAATTTTATCAAAATAATCTACTCTCTTAATAAATATATTATTTTTATTATAATAATTGAATAATTTATAAAATATAAATTAAAAATAATAATTAATATTTTATTAAAAAATGAGAACATAATTTAGTTTAAAATATTTTTTAAATGTTAAAAATACATTGTGTACCAACGCCATATAGTAAATTTGTATTCTTGAAACAGTATGTATAGGTAATGGTGGTGCCTTACAATAAGAGTGGCACTAAAGTACATTTGCGGTGACCAAACATCTAATACTTTAATGCCGACTTTGTCATGTTATTGTGATTTAATTATTAACCTTTTATAATATTTTAAATATAATTTTTACCGTTAATTATTGTTAGAAAAATATTTTATATGAGAAACTAAATGTATATTATATTTTATATTTCATTTCAATTATATCATGTAAGTAAAATTTTTAATTTTTTAAATAAAATTTTTAATGCATTTGACTGCATCTTTATTTTTATCCATGTGATCATACTTTATCGCAAGTATTAAACCTTCCAATCTAAACTCCAATCCCTCTTAAAGAGGAATAGTTTCTCACAATTCACAATCTCGACAACGGGTATGAGTTTGTCCATAATGACCAACGACTCTATGAGGTCGTCATCTTATCATGGAGGAGTTCGACCTCGACTCCCCTATCGTGTAGGAGTTCAGGTATAACGATCCATCTTCATTGTTACACTTAACAAAATCATTACTATTAGGAATTGATCACATATACACTGCAGTGTAAATTTTTTTTACAGTTATATCTTTTAATAGTGTCATGTCATTTGCTTATTTAATCAAATAAAAATAAAATAAAAATAATTTAAAAGATATGATTGGTTGCCAGTATAAAAAAACTTTATACTAGCAGTGTATGGATGATTAACTCTACTATTAGTAGCGAAAGTTTAATTAAAATGATCAAATTTTAATGATTCAACCGTTTAATTAAAAAAATTTAATATACAGATCAAGTTTATGAATTTAAAAAAATTCAAAAATTAGTTAATACTTTATTTCATTAATTCAAATTGATGAATAATCATAAAGACATAAGGATATTTATACATTGATTTGAATTAATGAAATGGAGTATCAAATAATTTTTAATTTTTTTTAAAATTATAAACTTGATTTATGTATTAAAATTTTTTAATTCAATGATTCAATTGTCAACATTTAATATAAAACATAAAAACACCTATTCTTAGAATAAGTGGATGGATCCCTCGCATACACACATTTTAGAGTTTAGGATTTAATGTTCAAAATAGGAATAAAAAAATTTAACTAACAAGATCAAAAATTCATTTTAACACTTTTTTGGACAATGTGTGAAATGAGAAAAAAATCGGAATAAAATTAAAATAGGACAGAAAAAAAATTGTTACTCGAATGGATAAAAAGAAAAAATATTATATCTCCACTTATTTAAATAAATGAGATAGAAAATATAAAAAAAAAAATTGTATTAAAAACAATACTAATAAAAAATTAGTTTTTTATTATATTATTGTTTCTTAACATAAAATTTATTAATGTCAATTCATAAATTTTTTTTTTAAAAAAATGTCAACTCATAAACTTTTAAAATCGTTAAAATTTGATATTTTCATTCAATCCCTCTCCTTAGTTCTCCTCCGATTCCTTACATGAAGGGCAAGACAGCAGTACAGCACGCAAATCGGGCCAGAATGTGGCCCACGAAAGGCAAATTCACGCCCAACTTAATGACTATTCAGATTTCAGACCAAACAAAAATTGAAATTTCTGATTAGCCATAAATGTATGTCACATGATACAATCAGATGGTCCAAGTCCAGGCCGTCCTGTGACCCTCATTTTTCTGCTTTTTTTTTCACTAATCGAAATCAAATGTTACAATAAGTCAATAACTAATACACTCGAGACCCTTGCTTACTGAATGTAATATTTTTAATACTATTCTTTTAATTAAAATTAAAAGTTTCAGACTTTCAGTCAACTTCTAAGAAGCGAATTATACAGGTAAAAATATTAGTTTTGTCCTTTCTTAAGCCGTACTGAAGTTTAAATATGGCACTGACACGAACAATACAGTAGTAGTAACTTCCCGTTGTAGCATTACACCCTGGCCATTTTAACACCTTAATGGAAACAATAGTTCAGAACAGCTATGTTATTTAAAGATCAATTTGTTATTTTTTTTTCTATGTTTCATTAAAAAATATGTACATTTAAAAGACTCCCTTCATTCTTCAAAACTTGAGAAAAAATATGTATATACCCTTCATTTGACACTGGCCAAGTATTTAAAACTTGAGACTTGAGAGGGGTGTTAGGTTTGAAATTTGAAGTTTCACAATTCAATTTTTTCACACCCAAGACGCGAAAGCGCGAACTTCCTGAATTAGCACCATGAACCACCGAAACAAGTCAATGGAAGCTTCTAAATACTACAAAACTACTGAAAGATGATTAGAAGAAAATGCACGAATAAATCAACAGCAACTAAAGGAATAAGATATCAATATCAATAATAGTCTGTTATTCATAATAGTAATAGTTATAACCAAGCATAATAAGATGTACAATGTACCAAAATAAAGAAAGAAAGCATACTGTAAGCACTTTTTAACCCATTTCAAAAATATTACATGACAGCTTATATACTTTATAAATCGAATTGCAATTTTACAATACTTTTCAAGCCTTCAACAAAGAGTCCTAATCCTAAATATACAAAGTTCAAAATTCCATGCCGCATCGAAATGATGTCGATGTATGGTGTTAAATACAAATTAAGAAAATGGTCATCAAATTGAGGATCTCAATATTCAGAATATTTTCAACTGCTAAAAGCGCCACACTGCAGTTGCCATTCCATGCAATCTTCAAAAGCAAAGCTGCTTGCACAACCCAATAACGCGTTTTGTTGTTGTTCATAACGACATATGTAATTGAGTCCCATGAGAAGCTGGCACATAGCTTCCTCTGTCTTGTCCTTATCAGCGAAGTATAGTGTCTGAAATAGCAGCACATTTGTCCTGCTAACAATTTGGTGCTGCTCAAAGTTCCTCTCACTTTGCCACCTGATCATATTATGAGCAAGTGGAGCAAGCCACTTAAGAATCCCATCAAGAGTCACCTTCCAGTCATGGGCCAGAGGGGCATCATATATGGCCAAGTGCTTTGCATAGGTCTTGAGTTTGCCTTTCAGAGATAGCCTTAAGCTCGTTGGTAGCATCTGATATAGATCATTCCTAGCTTCCTCACCAACTAAATGTGGATACGTAAGGAGTTTCTCTATGACGGTTATCACATTGGCATAGTGCAATGCCAGAGCACATCCTCCAAGAGTAGAAGGAGGTGCATAACCACCTAATCTACTTTGGAGATCAAAGGATGAGCAACTTTGAAGACTTTGAAGACCAGAGTTGACTTGTCTTAGATCTTTAGTAAAAGGAACACCACTTTGAACATGATTTAAACCACCAGAATGGCACAAGTGCTCCTTTTTCTTGACCTTATTCCCAAGACCGACACTTTGAAAGCTTGATATGTGACCAATAACATCTTCGTCATTGTCATCGCCCTCATCGAATTTTGTAACCGCGCTGCTTAAACTAAGACAATCCATGAAGAGTCTCCCAGGACTTGTGCCACAAGGAAAACCAAAATCTTCAATTTGAAGATATGGTAATTCACCTCTCCTCATAGTTTCCCTTGTCTCCACAGCACTTGAACCCAAATGACAACCATTTCTCTTGCCATGATTGGCTTTCAACTTGTCAGAACTCAAAGGAACATTAATCTGGCCAGACACCAACCCACATTCACTTTGCATGGGTGGAGAGCCTCCACTAAGCCCAAGGGTAGCACTCTTCCTCCATGTAGAATCACCAAAGATCATACAGATTCTAGCATAAATGGTACAAACCGTCCTAGCCAGCAACTCGACAACCTTATCAAAGTTCTGATTCCACAGCGAAACCTCCTTCAGATGCCTCACATCTTGCTTCTGCCACGTGAGTTTCTGCTCAAACGCCCTTGTACTCTCCTTATGCTGAAACTTCTTCATGGCTTGCTCCAAATCATTCAACACCCCCATCTCACGGTACAAACTCCTGGTATTACCAACATACCTATCCATTTTCCTCACCACTCCTTCCATGTGCTTAACCAAGAACCGCAACTCCTTCACATCTATGACCCCATTAACAATGTCTCCATACACATGCTCAAAGCCTTGTAAAGCAGGCATGGAGCACTTCTTCCCCAACCTAGAAACCACGCCAGCAACACGGTTCAACTCCTCCATCTTCTCTGCTCGAGCCAGCTCCAGGAGATACCCCTCTTCGGAGGAAACCAGGTTTTGAACACCCTTTGAGTTCGAGATCTCGCTCCTAAGCTTCACAATCTCGGGCTCGGACAAGGATCTGTGAAGGTGAACAATTTTGGACATCACATTTGCTACTTCAAAAGAGAGAATCCCAATCACTTCTTTGCTACTATTATCTTGCCTCTTGGGATCTTGTTTTCTCTTTGCGGAAGGTTCGAGAAGAAGAGCGTGCTTGAGATTGGCACTTACTTGGTTACCCATCTTTACAATCCAATTTTCAGCAACCATAGCTACCTAACCACTTTCACCGAATGCCCTTCATTAAAATCTGCATCACCAGAACTCAGCTGGGAAAACCCATTTGTGAGAGAAATGGCATGAGAGGACCCATTGAGGGGAACGAGGAGAAGAACCCAGTAGCTTGTCAAAGCTGCAAACTTTGAGGGTCAACAATGGTTTTGGGAATGAAATGGTTGGTGGGGCAGACAGAGAATGCAAAGAGTGCAAGTTGATGCTTTGTGTGTGGCCAAAGAAAAAGGGTGAATATGTGAGGATTGAAGAAGGAGAATGAAGGGTGCAATCGAAAATAAGATGCAACGAGAAGAGACAGAAAGTGGAGGGAAAGAAGGAAGTGATAAACAAAAGGATATAAGGGGTAGGGACCAAAGAGAGGAGATGAGTGATTGTTTTTGCTTTGCTTTGATTGCTATTTCAGAGCTATCCAGTCTAGTTTTCAAAAAAAGGAATCACAATTTTGAATTGAATCTTTCTAATTTTTCTTTTACTTTTTCTAATCAATAAATTTTAAGATGAGGGACAAAATTTTTAATCATTAATATTATATATGTATGGGTCTTTTACATGTTTAATGGACATATATAATTATGGATCTATTTATTTTTAAGTGAATAGTTTGTTTTAAAGGATAAATCAAGCAAGTTCAATCATTAATAGGAAGAAAGTAGATATTATGGATTTATTTCAAACAAAAACTTGTAAGAAAAAGCTAGAACAAAAATAAAATCAAATAAAGTTAACTTATATAAATTTTAAAAAATTTATAAATAAATGTGAAAGAGCTTTTTTAAATTAACTTGTACATAAATTAATTTATGTATTTTTGGATAAATATTTTTTTTTTAAAATTATTTATATAAACCTTATGTTACTTATGTATACCGATTTCAATAATTGATTTTCTTATCAAAACTTTACTTTCATTTGTCAAATCTTGATAATTACACGCAAATTTTAATAAGAATAAATATTTACATAAGTATCTTAATATTCATTTTATCTAATAAACTTCTGTCACATGTGTATGTGTGTGTACACATAATTATAATATTGTATTTAAAATTAAGTAATACATCATTATGTTTGTTACCTTTGTTATTATTATTGAACTACAAGGATAGGTATTTAAAATATGTTTAAGAGGTTTATAGTAAATTAACTAATAATGAAAAAGGTACTTCAAATTTATGTAAAAAAAATATTTTTTTAAATAAATTAGCAGTTATTATTTTTAAAATGTAATTATTATTTTGTATATACTTTTTTTCCTATTTTATCTTTAGATATATTGGCAAAAGAATTAAAATAAAAATATAAGAATATAATTATTTTTAAAAGAGTGAACATAAAAGGGTATTTCCTTTATATATTATTTAAAAAATATATAAATATAAAAATATAATTATCTTTAAAAAAAGGTGAGATTATATGATGAGTGAAAATAACTTATCCATCAAGTTATTAATTTCAACCTTACAAATACGTAGCGTAGTGTGTTTTTGTTAACAAATTTTGAAGTGTACCTCCTGCTGA